CCTCTAGTGTCTCTAGCAACCCCCTGGGTTTAGTTGATGACTCAAACAGTCCCTCAACCCTGCAATGTCAGCCTGGCGGGGGTTGCCTGGGCTAGGGGTGGGGTGGGTGGTCCTAGAGCCCTTGGAAACCAGAACCAGGGGGAATAGTGTTTGGTGGCCATGCCACGACATTGTGATTTACCCACAGGCCTTCTGACAGTGGGCTGTCTGCTGAGCGCTCCCCCTGCCGAGGCCGGGTCTGCATCTCTGGTAAGAAGCACAGCCACCCCAGCCCCTGGGCTCCTTGCTCAACCACAGGATCTCCTGCCCCATCTCAACATTTATTCCTAACCCTCTGCCCCTTAGACCTCCGGATTCCACTCATGTGGAAGGACACAGAATATTTCAAGAACAAAGGCGGTGAGTCCCACACACACTGGAATATATTCAGGGGAGTGACCCTGATGTTGAAAGCTCCGGCGGGTAACTTTTTTCCTTAGCTGTTTTGCCCTCTTTGCCCCCAGACCTGCACCGCTGGGCTGTGTTCCTGCTGCTGCAGCTAGGGGAAGACATTCAGGACACAGAAATGATCCTGGTGGACAGGACCCTCACGGACATCTCCTTTCAGAGCAGCGTGCTCTTGTGAGTACCCCATCCGTGTGGCTCTCTCCTCTTTCTACTCTGCCCCAGTGTTCTGATGAGGTAGCTACAGGGAAGGGGAGGAGAGGGAGGAAGGCAGATGGGCCTTCCCTGGGGAGCTGTCCTGAACTTGTACCACCCCATCCTTCCCCCACCCCCATCCCTCATGCCTCCCTGGACTTCCCCTGGACCATCCTCCTCTCTTCTTCCCACACTCCTATAGCACTGAGGCAGGGCCAGACTTTGAACTTCGACTGGAGCTGTATGGGGCCTGCGTGGAAGAGGAGGGGGCCCTGGCTGGTGCCCCAAAGAGGCTTGCCACCAAACTCAGCAGCTCCCTGGGCCGGTCCTCTGGAAGGCGTGTCAGGGCATCACTGGAGAGTGCTGGGGGTTCAGGCAGCAGTCCCATCCTGCTCCCCACCCCGGCTGTAGGGTAAGGCCCTGCATTCATTCCCCCATTGCCCTCAAATGTCTATCCTGGCCAGGGGTGACCTCTGAGCAGTGGAGAGCTTGCAGAACCTACTTTGTACTGCTCCCAGGACGTACAGGCAGACATGTGTGAGCAGTGGCCACATGGCTGGGATGCACTCAGAGTTGGGCCCAAGCCAAATGAGATAACCAGTAGGAAGGCAGGAAGTCCTAGGCTCTGGGGTCTTCACTTTTTTGCAGCAGCAAATGCATCTTACATGGGTAGAACAGAGCACCCTGGTTGGAGGAGGGTAACCTGGGCTCTGTGGCGGTGCCTACAGGAGTCTGGAAGCACCCTGTGGAACCACTGGGACTCTGAGGACAGTTTGAGAACAACTAGGGTAATGAACAGAATGCTGATTTTGGAGACAGATATGGGTTCAAATTCTAGCTCCACCATCTACCTATCAAGATATAAATTACGGGCAAATTTCTTAACCTCTCTATGCCTCAAGCTACCTCATCTACTAACTAAAGAATGCCACTGACCTCCCAGGGCTGTGATGGGAATATAGTAAGATAACATATATAAAAAGCACAGAACCTGGCACATAGCAGGAGCTCACTAAATATTTGTCCCCATCTCCTATGGGGGAGGCAAGCTAGTTTCCCTTGTGGCTGCCTAATGATGGGGCAGACCTGCTCAGCACTATATATAGCTCCTGCCATCTAACACGGCCCTCACATGCTCCTCGCTTGCTGAGGCCCACTCCTTGGTATGTCCTGCAGTGGTCCTCGTTACCACCTCTTGGCTCATACCACGCTCACCCTGGCAGCAGTGCAAGATGGGTTCCGCACACATGACCTCACCCTCGCCAGCCATGGTGAGTATGTGTGCGTGGGTGACGCTGGATGGTGAAAAGAGGGGCTGTTGGATGGTCCCCTTCTCATTCTTCACCCTCACCCTGCACTTCCTCTCCCCCAGAGGAGAACCCTGCTTGGCTGCCCCTTTATGGTAGTGTGTGTTGCCGCCTGGTGGCCCAGCCTCTCTGCATGACTCAGCCTACTGCAAGTGGTTCCCTTAGGGTGCAGGTGAGCACCCCTGAGGAGTGGAAGGGAACAGGGAGAAGGCAAAGGAGAGCTGGGTCACCTGGGAATCTTAAGAACTACTAAAAAATCAAGACATGGGTGGGAGGAGAGGTATGGCAAGACAAGAGGAGGTTCAGAACGGGGGGTGGGGGCAGGAAGAAGCAGATTCTTGTTGGAGGGCTGGGAAAAAGCGTGTTGGGAGGTGTGACTCCCCCAGGAAACCTTGAGTCATCTATGCAGCAAGCTGGAGAGCGGCAGGACTGGGCACGAGTGCATGGGGTCCTGAAGGGCACAAGCCTCTTCTGCTACCGGCAATCTGAAGATGCAGATACTGGAGAAGAGCCGCTGTTTACTATCACATTCAACAAGGTGATGGGTCCGCTGGCGGGCAAGCCACCAGGTGCTAGGGCCTGGAGCCTCTCTGTCAGGCCCTAGGAGGGTGGGTACAGACTTTAGAGAGATCAAAGCCTCCTGCTCCTCATAGCACCACACCCAACTCCAGGTCTGGGAATGATGACCGTGTTCTCCGTGACCAGCATCCCTGGAAAAGAGTTGTCCCCTCCTCTTCCCAACCCCAGTCCCTGCCTATTTTCAGAGAGATTCTATAGCCAGCTTAGGATTTTTCATCCACCTTCCATCTTCCCTCTCAGATTCTAATTTGCATCTATTCTACTCTTTCTGGGTTTCCTCTCCCAACTCAAGTCCAATGACCCCTCTGTTCCCTAGCCCTTTTGCTGACTTTACTGCAGACTAATGGAAGTAGTGAGGGACATTAGGCCTCAGCATTCCTGCCAGCCTCTGTATCTTCCCCAGCCCACCCTCTTTCCCTGTCTCAATCTGCTGCTTTTTCCTGACTGAAGATCACCTGTCTCATCCTCAGTCCTTCCCTGCCATTCCTTCCCACTCTGTCTAGTAGGAGACAAATGAGGTTTGGTAAAAGCCCCAAAAGCTCCTCTTTCTAAGGCAGGGATGATCAAACCCACGTGAAGTCAATGCTGACTTCTGTACCCAACGTGAAGTTGGAAGCAGACCCTTTTTTCTCTTGCAGGAGACTCGGGTCCAGGCAGGGGAGCTGGACCAGGCCACAGGCCGGCCCTTCACCCTGATCATCAGTAACCAGTATGGGGAGGACAAGGTGACACACATCCTTCAGACAGAGAGTCGGGGAGCCCTGCAGAGCTGGATGGAGGCTTTGTGGCAGCTTTTCTTTGACATGAGTAAGAGGAGGGGCCTGGATTGAACCTTTGGGAGGAATTGGGGTTTGTTACTTTTTACTGTAGGCCTCTGTTTCAAGAATGTGTGGAAGGAAAAGTAGCAGTGGCAAGGGTAGCCTGGCCCTTTCAGTCCTCCCCCTCTCCATCCCCAATCACTGCTTACCCTTCAGGCCAGTGGAAGCAGTGCTGTGATGAAATCATGAAGATTGAAACCCCCGCTCCCCGGAAAGCGCCCCCGGTACTGGCCAAGCAGGGGTCCTTGTACCATGAGATGGGTGAGTGAGTACTCCGGGAACTTGATGGGAGGTGGGACTGGAGGCTTTAAGGGAACTCAGATAATGGAAACAGACCAAAGGTACACTTTGGACCTAAGGCACGCTCTGGGGACTCGAGTCCCACCCAATCCTGCTGAGTTCCTTTCTCTCCTCCAACTCTTCATAGAACCACTTCTACCAAAGTTCAAAACAAAACCCCAAAGAACAAGATTCATTTCATGGATTTCTTTCCTAATTTCTTCTTTTTTGTTTCCCTTTCTGCCTGTGGATTCCTGTCTTTTCCTCTGACCTTCACTTGCTTGGCACTGCTTTCATTTTCCTCCTCTTTCTTGATTTCTTCACCCACCTCTGCCTACCCCCCTCCTCCCCAATCCTGTCCACCCTGCACCCTGTATCCCATAGTCTTATCAGAGCCTGTGGCTCCAGGGGGCCCAGGTGAGGGGCTGCTACTACAGGATAACGAAATCTCAGCCGAGATCCGGGCTTTGCTTTCCTCCTATTACAGTGACAGGTGATGGTCAGGGCTGGATAGGCCTGGGGCCTCAGCTCTGACTAGCCGCCTCCCCTCAACCCCTTCCTGGTGCCACAGCTATTGAGCCTCTGGATGACATCGCAGCGGTGACAGACATTCTGGCCCAGCGAGAGGGCGTGAGGCTGGAGACGCCCCCACCCTGGCTAGCCATGTTTACAGACCAGCCTGCCCTGCCTAGTCCCTGCTTGCCTGCCTCAGTGGCCCCAGCCAGGACCCACCCCCTACCCTGGGGACGTCCCCGAACATTCTCCCTGGATGCTGCCCCCCCAGACCATTCCCCTGGGGCTTCCCGCTTGGTTGCTCCTCTTCCCCCGCATCGATCCCCACGATCCAGAGGCCTCTGCAGCAAAGGCCCACCCCGCACTTGGCTCCAGTCACCAGTGTGAGAAAGTTGCTGCAATGGGATCTGGCCAGAAGAGGATGACCTGTGCGCAGCTGGGCCCTCGATCCGGCGCTGTCCGTAGCAGGTTGGCCAGCTTGGCTTCCCCATCCTCAGCTGGACTGGGGGTAGGTTGGGAATGGGGAGCAGAAGCCCCTCTTAAACTATGGTTGCCATGGTGCTGAGGGACTCATTCCCAGGGCTGGCTGGGACCCCTAAACCCTTCCTGGGAGAAACTGGAACCAACCCTGCCCTACCTCCTGAACTAACCAGCTTTGAGGATGGCACTGAAGCACGCTGGGAGGGAACACAACTCCCTTGTGACTCCCACATCAACCATTAAAATTATTTAACAGCAGGCTTTACCTAGTTCTTGACGATGGATTACCTTGTCTGCTTGGTCTGGACCTGTCCTTTCCGCTCTTCCTGGAGCTTAGTTCACTGGTTGTGAAGGATGACTCTGATACTGAGTAATTAGACAAGGGCTAGGTACTGAAGGAGGTACTTTATAAATACCATAGGGAGAAAGGAGGGCTTCTCTGCTCTCACATACTGCTGAATCTCAGGATTTCAGCGAGGTCGTAGCCAGTCACAGCCAAAGAGCTGCCTGAGGGATCACAGAATCGGGCACCACACACCTGAGTGTCGGGCACACATTCGCCATGACAGTGTTCCACCTGGGGGAAAAGAGGGCTGCTCAGGGCCCGCTGCCCTTCGCTCGGGCCCCCCATTCCACTCTTCTCTCCACACACACCTGAATGCAGCCACTCTCTAGGCTTCTGCTCAGCTTCCAGATATGTACAAAGGTGTCCTCGGCTGCAGAGAGTAGCTGTTAAAAAAAGGCAGGGAGGACAAGTGGGAGTCAACGCGCTGACAGGACTGGTAGGGGCTGGAGTGCTACACCAAGTGGCAAAGACAAGCCTGTAGGGTTCCTTTCAACATCCGGCACCAGGGATAAGGGTATGCAGGGATGCAGGAGGAGACTGACCTTGCCCACCTCCGGAGCCAGGTCCAGGGCAGAGATGGCCCGGGCGTGGGCGTTGATCTGGATGTGCAGAGTTCCCGTCCTGGCCTCATACAGACGCACTTGCCCGTTCCCATAGCCTGCTGCTACGATCCCCTGCCACAGCTGCACAGAAGTGCATGGGGCCCTGCAAGGGCAATGCCCCACTTTGATTTCCCCAGACCCAAGCTCCCTCCCTGTCCTGAAGCTGCTTCAGGAAGGCTTCAGCCCCTTTGCCTCACCTACCCAAATCCTGGAATTCGGGTCAATAATTTGAATTCAGGACCTGATCGCCAGATGCACAGCAAGCCTGAGTCATCTGCTGTCACTATGTCAGCCATGCAGTCCTGTGGGGAAAGGCAGGGTCAGCCCTTCCCTTTCTCCCCTGTTGGGTCCTCTATACAGGGGAAGGGAGGCAGTACTTGCATCTTGACCTCTCTAGGGAAAGGGAAGAAATGGAGCCGTTACAAGCTGGACCCATGGTCCCCTCAGGAAGCATAAGATGCTTCCCTCACATTCCTGTAAGTCTCCTCACCCTCCCTCCCCATACACACCATGTGTTAGGAGGGGGTAATAATTGTACTCAATGGATGGAGGATGAAACTGATGCCATAGTGTTATGACCTTCTGGAGGTCTTAGAGTGAGCCAGTCACAGTCATAACTAAACTCAGCCCCTTGACACCCAACCCCATAGGCAGCCAACATAGTCATGGGCCCAGCTCTGGGCCAGATTCAGTAAAGGATATGAGTTAGAAAATACAAACCATGTTCTCAAGAGGTTTGCAATCCAGTTAGGGACAGAAGAGTTGTCTTTGAGGACAGTACAAACTCAGGGTCTAGCTAAGGGAGATCAGTGGGAGCTGGAACAGGGGGAAGGCTTTCTGGAGAGGGTGGCCCTGGAAGTATAGGACTTGCCAAGTTCAGAGAAGGAAGCTGCACATGTCAGAGCTAGAAGGCATCTTAGAAACCATCTTGTCACAACTCAATTCACTCCAGTATTGAGAAGTGTTAGTGAACTATCAAATGCCACGTAAATATAAAGTATCCTGGCTTCATCACTGGACCTGAGGTTGCTGAAGCCTAGGAATGTGCTGCAATTTGCCCAAAGTCATCCAGCTGCTTAGTGGTAGAGCCAAGACTGGCATCCAGGTCTTCTGCCTCCAAAGGCGGGGAAGGCTCCCAGGCTTACTGGAATTAGAAGGGGGAATCCACTCACCTGTCCCTGGGCAGGCTCGCTGGCAATGTCTGTGACTGATGTCAGGTGCCCAGCCAGCTCTTCACTCAGCACAATGTTGGGGCCCTTGGCTGGGATATCAAATACCAGTACCCGGCCTGACCACGTTCCTGCAGATGCAGTGAGTCCCTAGTCCTCCCGAGTCTTCAGCTGTCACACTCAGCACTCCCTCCATCCCAGAAACCTTGGTAACAAACCCACCTCTCACCACTCCAACAATCCTGTCGCTCCATGACTACTCTTATTCTCTCCCACCCTGCTCCTCTGAACCCATCCATCGCTCTTTGGAGTCTCTAACTCCCCCTTCACTTCCACCCTTCCCTCTAACTCTCCACAGTTTCCTCAGACCGTCAGCATCCTCCAGTCCGAAGCCCACACCTTTATACTCCAGCGCCCCCCAATGCCCTGCCCTTGGCCCCCTCACCCACGCAGATGAAGTGGCCACTGGAAGCAATTCCTCGGGCAAACACGCCCTGTACTGAGTATAAAAAGGGAAAATTATTAGAAATAGCACTTCCTCCAGCCCCAGGAAACACTCCCTACACACACCCAACTCAGTCCTGCAGGTACCTGGAGAGGCATCTCCAGAGTCCAGCGCGTGCCAATAAACCATGACGGAGCCATCAGATTCATACATCTGGAAGATGAGGGCAAGGGCAGGGGTACAACCCAGCTATCCTTTGCTGTGCTCTGTGCTGAGTGTTACACACTCATGTTAGCCTTAACCCACTGAATTCTCAAAAAAAAAAACCAAAAAACAAAAAAAAACTCTGGCAGGTAGGTACTACTTTTACTCCTATTTTACAGAGAAGGACACTGAGGCTCTAATAAGTTAACTAAATTGCAGCTAGCAAAGGGGCATATATTGGAGAGGGTACTTGGGAATTAAAAAAAGATAGAAGGAATGAAGATGGGAAAAAGGGAAGAATGGGCTAAGCATGTGTAAAACTTGGGAGTGTTTAAAGGCAAGTGCAGAACGGTTTAGGGGACTTGGAAAGGAGTTGAGAAGACTCTAGTCCAGGAGGACAGGACGGTCCTCCTCTTACCTGTATTCCTCGATGTGAGGTGAGTACCAGCAATACACGGAAGGGAAGGACACACCAGTGGACCTGGAAGGGAGGTGGATCACAACAGGAGGAAGTAGTCAGCAGGGAACATGAGGACTCGGAAGAATAGAAATTCAGAGGGCTCGGGAAGGCCTATTCCTTAAGGTTTAGGGAGGAAAGGCAGGGATTAGGACTGGGTTCAGCAACATCACTCTCAACTTCATGCCTCACCTGGGTGATGGGTGGGAGGTTCACTCCAGCTCCCTCCTTAGCGTGGAGCTGGCGCTGAGCCAAGGGCACACCCTCAGAAGCAGCGCTGAGAAGCTGGGCGCTGGGTCCATGGACTACCCCAAAACGTGTGAGGTTGCGGGCCGGCAGCTGCAGCACGCTGAGGTTGTTGCACAGGGCCGCAGCGGAGCCTCGAAGAGGGATGGAACGCTCCCGGCGTAACATCCTAGGGGAAAGACGTCTGAATCACCAAAACCTCAGGGATAAACAGACTACAGCAATGATTCGTGGCTGGGGTGCGGGTGCTGTCATGAGGTAACGGGGGTCCCCCGAGGACGGTGATGGGGGGGGGGTCTGGCATGGGGAGGGTCTCGTGGAGCAAGAGAGGAGAGTCCCAGGGCTGAGTCACGGGGCGATGGGGGATCCTAGAGAAGGTATGGTGACGGCACGGGAAACGGTGGCCCCAAGTGCCCGAGCCAAGGCAGACTGAAGTAGGGTAGTCCCCAAGCCCTTCCACCCTCGTTTCGGCTCTCGAAAGCCCCTGCCCGGGTCAGGGGCCACGCCAGGAGCCCCAGGGCCTCTTGCCTGCCTCCAAAATCTTTCGGTCCCTCCGAATCCGCCGCCACCATAGAGACGACGCACGTACGCAGGCCGTTGGGCGGGACGAACACCAAACGTGCGGAGCGCGGCTCGGTTGCCGAGGCAACTGCGGGCCCGACGAGCCACCACGCACTCGGCGTGGTTGCCGGGGCGACTGCTAGGCTGCGGTGGCGGCGGTTGCTGCGGGGGCGGGAGCTGCTGAAACCCCGAGGTTGGAGCGACTGCGGTGGTGATGGCGCATGAAAGCTCGGTAGGCTTCCTGAAGTTCAGCTGGGGGTTCTCCAGAGCGGGGATCGGCCGTTAAGGTTGATGTTGGGAACCGAGAGTAGCTCCGCGGTATCCGGTGCACGCCCAGCTCACCGACGTTCAAAATTACCGAGGAATCTACGACGTTACTTGGGCAAGAAAACCTACACTTGCATCTCGCCCACTTACACGCTTTATCACACAATGGGAAGCTGAGGGGAAAGGTCAAATGAGAATCCAAGAACAAGAGTTTGGAAACAGCTAATACATGTAATGAGTCTCCATTTAAGTGGATTAACCACAGTTGGTCAGGGTTTGGGGGGAGGCGTTGCCCATTTTAAGAGTTTCAGGAGGAAAAAATGGATTAAGTAACAGCAACCCTGAGGCTGCACTTGAAAATAACATTGTTTTAAAAACAAGAAAATTAAAAATAAAACATTTGAAGAACCTTTGTGTAACAGTGTCCTCTGGCCTCTCTGGTTAGTCCATGTATAGGCATGGCCACTATCACGGGTGATACAGGATGAGAAGCTTGGAGGAGAAGTCTAATGAACCGACTTTCCTGTGCAAGCTCTACCTGCCCTTCTCTGGCCAAGCTTGCTTTGGGTAATTCCCTAGGTATGCCTGTAGGGCTGTTCTCACTAGCAGAGAGGGGAAATGAGGCTTAAGGGATTCTGAATTCCGTGTGAAGTCCAGAAAACCAGATTTGAGGGAGAATGAATTTTGGGGAACATCAGGCATGAGTCAGTAAGCTTGGGGGTGAAGAGGCAAAGGTTTGGAAAGGTTACATTTGGAGGTAAATTTTGGAGGGAACCAGGTTTACATAGACTCTTGTGGGGAAGTGAGGAGGATCCCAAGAATCTGCTAGTGAATTCCTATGTCCTGAAATGAATTTTTGGGACTAGTTTTTTTTTTTCTTTTTAAGTAGAGATTTCTTAATTATAAAGAGATACAATCTCATTGTAAAGAACTTAAAAGGAGAGAAGAACATAGGAGAGAAACATGCCCACTGTTACAATTTTGGTGTTTTCTCTTCAACACATACAGGTTTACATTATTGGAGATCATACTTGATATGTAATTTAGTATCCTGCTCTTTCATTTAACATTAAATCTTAAGTATTTCTCTATGCTTTTGCAAATTCTTCCTAATGATTACCTTTAATCATTGCATAATATTCCATCATACAGATAGTGCACAATTAGCCATCTAATTCTTTTTACTAGACATATGTTTTCAGTATTCTACTGTTATAAGTCATACCACAGGAAATATGTTGGAGAATATATTTTTATTTTAAATGCTTTTGAGCACATAATACTAGAATTAATATTTTTGAAGGTTAGACATGTTTTCAAATGTTCATTAGTCATCTACAGTTCTACTTTTGTGAAACACATCCTTTGTTTATTATTATCCTGGGGTCTTATGATTTTTCTTATGTGAAATGGGTTTTTAATGTATTGGGAGATTATTTTATATTTGCGACAAATGCAAGGTGGGGCAAAGTAGTTTTACAGTTGTTTGTATGGGAAATAGCACAATGATTAACAAATAATAATACAGGAATAAACTGTTTTCTGCGTACTCACAACATCGATGTGTGACAGAAACAACCATAGGCTATCTGTCACATACCCCTAACCGGGGACCTGGCTGGCAACCCAGGGGCATGTCATGACTGGGAGTCAAACCAACGACCTTTTGGTTTGCAGGCTGGCACTCAAACCACTGAACCACACCAGACAGGGCTATTATTCTTTTTCTTAAAAAAAAAAAAAAGATTTTATTTATTAATTTTAGAGAGAGGGGAAGGGAGGGAGAAAGAGAGGGAGAGAAACATTGGTTGACTCTCACATGCCCCGACTGGGGACAGCTGGCAACCCAGGCATGAGCTCTGCCGGGGAATCAAACCAGTGATATTTTGCTTTTTGGGGCAATGCCTAACCACCTGAGCCATGCCAGTCAGAGCTCTTCATGATTCTTACAGTTTTTTCTTACCCAGAGATTATATGAGAAGTTAACTTGTTTTTCCTACATTTTATTTTGTGTTCATACCTTTGTTTTTATGTATGTGTTTATCCTTTAATCCATCTAGAATTTATTAAACTTTTAAATTTTTTAAAATTTATTGATTTTAGAGAGAGAGAGAAAAGGGGAGGAGTAGAAAGAGACACATAGACTTGTTCCACTCATTTGTGCATTCCGTGGTTGATTCTTGTACGTGCTCTTACCGTGACCGGGGATGGAACCCACGACCTTGGCTCATTGGGATAAGGTTCTAACCAACTGAGCTACCTTGCCAAGATCATCTGGAATTTATTTTGATATATGTTTGTGAAATAAGGATATAAGTTGATTTGAAGGAGGGAGAGGAGACTCTAAACAGCACCTATTTTTTTTAAAAAAGATTTTATTTATTTATTTTTAGAGGGGAGGAAAAAGAAATAGGAGAGAAACATCAATTGATTGCTTCTGGTACACTCCCAACCAGGGACCTGGCCCACAACCCAGGCATGTTTTCTGACGGAATCAAACCGGAGATCTTTTGGTTTGCAGGACAATGCCCAATCCACTGAGCCACACCAGTCAGGGCAAAACAGCACCTATTACTTAAGCACCCATATGTTGATTCATCTTTTTCAAGTTCTTTGACCTCTCAAGAACTTAGAACATTTTGTACTATTGCCAAAAAGGAAGGACTGTGGAGTCGGAGCTATATATAGTCTGGGTTTACTGTGTGATCCCAAGCAAGTGCTGGTTAATTTGTGAAATGGGCTTACTGAGCTGTTAAGAAAATTAAATTAGCTAGGTCAAAGACCTGAAAAGCACTTGTCACACAGTAGGCTCTTAGTAAATTGTCCCTTTCAAAAGGCTTTTCCTTCCTACTAGACAACTTGAGAAAGCGTCCTTCTTGCCTGTAGCTGCTTCTCTCTTCCATTCCTCAATTTCCTTCCCTGATTGTCCAATTCCTTTCTCACAGAGGCAGGCCCGAGACCGCGGGGTGACCAGATCCAAGGCGGAAAAGGCACGACCGCCTACTGTGCCGGTGCCGCAAGTTGACATTGTTCCTGGGCGGCTCAGTGGGGCTGAGTGGATGGCGCTCATGGCTCAGGAGGAGGGCGAGGACGTGGTGGGGGACATCTTGGCAGATCTGCTGGCACGAGTCATGGACTCTGCCTTCAAAGTCTACTTAACCCAGCAGGTGTGCCTGGATCTGGGTCCTCTAGCCCCATCTTCCCACTCTCCAACGTCTTTCTGTCCCATTGAGACCCTGTCTCATCCTCCCCCCGCCCCCCCTCCACAGTGCATTCCATTCACTATCAGCCAGGCTCGAGAGGCCATGCTGCAGATCATTGAGTGGCGCTTCCTGGCCCGGGACGAGGGAGAATCTGCAGTGGCCGAGGACCCCACGTGGGGCGAGGATGAGGAGCCCTCTGCATGTGCAACGGATGCCTGGGCTCAGGGATCTGTGCCCATGCTGCACACGCCAGCCTCGGTAGGCCTGGAGTGGACCTTCCAAAATGAAGTAAGCCCAGCCCCCAACTCTTCCAAATCCCACCCCTACCCCCAACGCATCTTCATTTACCTTAGGGCCCCTCTTGACTCCTCCACCCTTAGTTCCTTTGTCCCTTTCTGACCTCTCATTACCTACCTCCGGGGCATTTCTCCAGGACCAAGGTAGCGTGGACCAGATTCCTTTAGAAAGATCATGGATGGATAGAGGCTTTGATGAGCGGATGGAATCTTGGGAGCGTTCTTCGAAGCTGACAGACACCCCTGGCCCCCCAACCAAACCGGATTTGTTTCAGGAGGTAGGGCCCGGGGGTCCTTTAGAGGAACTAGAAGGCCAAGGAGAAGGCCACCTTTCCTCAGCTGGGTCCTTGAACACGAGTCTCCAACAGTCCTTGTCTGTGGAGACGGTTCCCGCTGGCAGTCCCAGCCCTTCTTTGGAGCTGTTCCAGGTAGTCAGCTCCCAGGAATCTGCAGAGAGGAGACAGCCCCTCAGCTCCCAGTTCTCGATAGAGGACTTCTACTGTTGCACGCTGCAGTCGCAAGCTGCTAGGGACCAGAAGACACTCGAGGAGGAGGCGCCCCGCACAGCCTTGGGCCCCACCATGCCCAGCCCCTCCCCATCCTTCCAGCCGGAGCAGCCCTGGCGCGTGGACTCGCAGCTGGGCATGTTTCCCTACAGGGCTGGCCGCAGGGCAGCCTTGGGGCCGCTGCCACACCGCTGGGTGTGCCCGCTAGTTGAAATTGTGGAACCAGACTCCGAGGTGCACCCCCTGGAAGTCTACCGCAGGCACCAGAGAGTCAAGAAGACGGAGACCTCGGCCAGACGCCCAGCCACGGGCCCCCGTTTCGGAGTCTCCCCAGCAGCTTTCTGCCCTCTCCCTCCGGCCGGTTTTTTTCCTGTCTTGGGCCCCAGCCTCCAGAATCCCTGTTTAAGCTTAGGCCTGGCATCACCAGGTTTCTGGTCAGAGGAGCCCTTGCCCAGCCCCGAGATCCGCTTTTTTGAAACGCACCTGGACCTCCCAGACATGGCCCACCACCCCAGCCCCAACGTGTGGCCAGGTGCAAGGTGGCCCAGGGGAAGGGAAGGGGAGGCCAAATTGCTGGAAGAGCTGTGGGCCACCCGCAGCCGTATACCTCCGCAGGGCTTGGATGCCGAGGACCCAGAGGGCCAGGATCCTCACAAGTTGCCTGATTCTGAGCCCCAAATCCTTGAGGCCACTTCCCAGGTTATGTGGAAGCCCGTGTTGCAGCCAGAAGCTTTGAAGCTGGTTCCTGGTGTAAGCATGTGGAACCCAACCACCCAGGTGCTGCTCCGCTCCCGCACATCCCAGGAGGAAGACAAAGAAGGCTGCGTCTTTCCTCCCATTGAGTAGCACCCCATCCAGATAGGTGCCCAGAAGCCCAGGTGACCATAGCACAGCTAATAAAGAAGTCAAACCCATAAATGTGATCACTCCCCTCCAAACTCCTGCCTCATTCTGAGCCCTGAGCCTCAGCCAGTGGTAATCCTGCTTTCCTGCTGTCTGCTTTTCAAAAATAAACACCTGAGTTGCTTTAAGAATTGGCCTGATACCTCTGTCGGTTTCTTCCAAAGATGGGTATTCTTGCAGAACTGGAGAGGAACAGTTCTCCTGGCAGGACTAGAAGAAGATAGAATACTGGTTCCAGGGAATAAACCCATTTCCACCTAAAGGAGACCCTGCTTCAGGGCCAAGGCTACTCCCCAGCAGGAGCATTCTGGAGAACCATCCCTCTCTTACAAAGGAGCAGATACAGCGCTGCAAGTGGCATCTACCTCAGTTGGGAGAACTTTGTCTCCTGGTTGGGGGAAGAGCGGGTAACTCTGCTTAGGCACAGAGTGATTCAAGATGCCAGGAATTTGATTTCTTGCTTCCCTACTCCCTGGGGCTCTGTTAACTCATGTTAGAGTGCAAATCCAAGTTCTGTTTGGAGACAGATTTGAGGCCTTGCAGGGTTCAGGGGACACCCTGAGGCTTTTATTGATTTTTAACTGAAAGTGAGGCAATAACGTGCCTAGGACACCCAGTTTATAATGAGGAACTCATTCCAGGATCCAGATGGGTTGTCTGAACAGACGTGAGAGTGCCTCCCTAAATTTTGTGTCTTGGTCTCCACCCCGGCCTCACTGCTAGTGCCCACTCAGCTTTGACCTTTCCACTCTCTTCCTACTCTGAGCGGCAGGCAAGTAATCTGCTATGTTGCTGTGGTCTCTAGTCAGCACCCATGCCTGGGGCCCTGTCACTTTCCTCCTCATTCTGGTCTTCCTGCTTAAACTGAGTGTGAGGCTCTGGCTTAAGTGTCATCTTTGGGACCTGCAGCATTGTTCGACAGACCTGACCGGGAAGACGGCTGTGGTGACTGGGGCCAACAGTGGTGAGTGCTCCTTCTACCCTGTTATCTCACTAGGGGCTTCCGCTCCTGATAACCTTAACAGGGAGGGCATGGGAAGAAGCAGGACCCACTGTCACCACCCCTGTCCCTCTCCTTGCTCCCCTGCCCTCTAGTCACTTCCCAGACTAGCCTACTCTGAAGCTGCCTTTCTATAGGCATAGGGAAAGCTGTGTCCCAGGAGCTGGCCCACCGTGGGGCTCGTGTGATCCTTGCCTGCCGTAGCCGTGAGCGTGGACAGCGGGCCCTGGCTGAGATCCAAGCAGCTTCAAAGGATGCCTGTCTTCTGCTTGGGGAGGTGGACCTGAGCTCCATGGCCTCTGTCCGGAGCTTTGCCCAGTGGCTCCTGCAGGAATGTCCTGAAATACATCTACTGGTCAACAATGCTGCAGTCTGTGGTATGTGCCTTGATCTGCTTCACCCAAACACATTTCAGGAGACTGCTTTCTAGGTCAGGGACCCCAAAATAGGCATCCCCGAAGCCTAGCCTATGCATCCTGTTGAAACACTCTAACTTATACACAACCCTAAAGAGCCTGCCTCAAGTTAAAGCCTCAAATTTCATTGCCCCACCTTTGCCCATACCTGCTCCTATAGCATTTCTGCTGAGCCCCAATATATCCCCCCAGACTTCTTCTCCCTCAGGGTAGTCCCTCCATCATCCACTTCTTGTGTCTTCATCTCCTCCCAGGACTCCCCAAGACACTAACCCCGGAGGGCCTTGAACTGACCTTTGCTACCAATTACATTGGGCCCTTTCTGCTCACAAACCTACTGCAAGGTAAGGAAGTATGCCTACACTCTGTGTTGGCCCTGCTTCTTCATTCCCTGGCATTTTTCTTGGCCACTTTCTTCCCCTTGGCACCCAGTTACTTGCTGCATGTAGCAGGGGAACCACCTGATACAGTCAGGATTAGGATTCTGGTAATGGAATCAGCCCAAAATATAAACAGCAAGGCGAGGTAAGATCCCACCTCTCCTTCTCTTAGCTCTGAGTTCCAGTCAGACCAGTAGAGTCAGTCATCTCAATGAAAGCTTCCTGGGGGTGACACTAGGCCACTAGGAACATGGACACCAAGAAACTGCCAGGACTCAGCACAGACATCGCCTGTGCTGTGGATCCTGCGCTGACAAGCAGCTCCAACTCCCCAGCAACTTCCAATTTACAGGGCTCCCTTAAGCCTCTTTATTTTTGAACTGACATTTCTCCATGATGATCAGTTTCCAACTAGGCCGTGATTTCCTTTGGTTTTTATATCACTATGTCTGCAAGTTTAGGGTCCATAGTCTTTTTTAAGATTAATTTTCTCAGTAGCAAATTTTGGCTAAATACCACCTGTTCAGATTGTCATTTGTGATTCTTCATTTCAATGTAGAGCTCCAAATAGTTTTAGCATTTGAAAACAATACTGTAAACTCGTGTGACAATGACTGTTTTTCATAATTTATATAATCCACTTTTTTGTATAGTTAGGTACTCATTTTTAAAAAAGATTTAACTTGTTTCATTGATTATAATTTTATTTTTCTTCCTTTGGGAGATAATTTTTTAAAAATACACTTTCCCAAGTATCTCTGCATATTTCTTTTTCCCAAACCTAGCACTCTTATGTCCTTAGCACCTATCTTGGTGTCTGCCACAATCCAGGGGCCTAATGAATATTTGTGAAATGAGTAAGTGAATTAATGTATGAATACATGAAAGACGGCTCTGACAGTGTTTCCGGCCTCTCCTCTCTCCTCTCTTAGTTGTCAGTGAGGTCAAACATAAATAGGATCAATTAAATTAGCTCCAGCTGGTAAGTGGGAGAAAATCAAGACAAAACTTCAAACACTAAAATAAAAGAGGGAGAAGAAAATTAGGAAGCAGCTAATGAAAATGAAGTCTCTGTTCACATTATGTTCTCCTGTGCCTAGCTTGGGTGCCTAGGTAGGGGTCCACTGACCCTCTCCTGAGAGCCCTGGATGGACCCTGCTCTCCTGGAGTCTCCTGGAGAAGCAGGCTGGGAGTGGGCATGGGAGTTTACTCCCAGACTTGGACTCAAGGAGTATGGCCCTCTCTCAACCCAGGGGCGCTACAACGGGCGGGATCAGCCCGAGTGATAAATGTGTCTTCCAGTATGCAAACAAATGGATACTTTGATGAGAAACATCTGACAGGGGCTGGTAGACCCTTGACCTTCAACCAGAACTATTTCTGCAGCAAACTTCTTTTGACATCAATCACTGGGGAATTTGCCCGGAGACTTCAAGGGACAGGTAACTGCCTCTGACACCCCCCCACTTCCTCCACTCCCAACGCTTCATACCTCTCAACGTGTCCTGGCCATAAAATCTCCCAACACCCCTCAAGCCAGCTGTTAATTTTTTCCATTTACCATCTGTGCCCCCAATAGTTCTCTCAATACTGTCTTCATGTCTCCTTTTCAACCTTTTCCAACTTTCTTGTCACCCACAACATCACTCTCCTCCCAGTATTTTCCAATATTAACACCATACATCATGTTCCTCCTAAAGTGAACTCAACACTTCCAAATACTTGTGTCTCCTTACTGGAGTGGCTACCACCATTCATGCAGGTTATGGAGCACTGATGTCCCTGGTACCACCGCCAAATCTCTGGTTACCTCTACCCAGCCGACTTGGTAGGATCCTTCCCTCACTGCACACTGCAGAATCACACTCAATCTTTTCTTCCCATCATCCTCTCACTTGACTTGGCATTTTGCTTGTCTTGCTTTTTCAGGTGTGACTGTGAACTCTGTGCACCCAGGTATTGTATACACGGAGATCATGAACAGCTTTTCTTGGTCATACCGTTTCCTCTTCTGGCTCTCCAGCTTCTTCATTAAGGTGGGTAGGGGAGGAGCTGTTTTGGCCTGAAGAGTGGGGGGCATGGCTCTACTTCTCAGCGTGTCCCCAGCCTGCCTGGCCTGACATTCCATCCTCCCCTCAAACCCCTACCCCCATGTTTCCACAGGATCCTCAACAAGGTGCAAACCCAATCCTCTACCTGAGCTTGGCAAAGGAACTGGATGGTGTTTCTGGAAAATATTTTAGCAGTTCCTGTGTGATAACTCTTCCCCCTAAAGCTGCTTATGATCCTCATGTGGCCCAAAGCCTCTGGAATGCCTCAGTCAAACTAACACACCTAGACAAGATGGACTGATCCTCAGTGATCCCGATCTTAGGGTTCTTATTTTTTTTAAATTTTGTTTGTTTCCATCACTATTTATCCCCTCATATTCTCTTCCACCTCCCCACCTCCCCCTCCCCCCACCGATCCCCACACTGCTGTCTCTGTCCATGAGTCCTTCATCATTTTTGCTTGGTCCCTCAGCTCCCATGCCCACCGTCCCAGGGCTGTCGCCTGCTCCCTCTCGGAGTCTGTCTCTGTTTTGCTGGCTAGTTCAGTTTATTTATTAGATTACACATATGAATAAAATAATATGGTACCTGTCTTTCTCTGACTGGCTTATTTCACTTATGATAATGTTCTGCTTTGAATCTATATGCTTTTGTAATCCAGTATTTTAATTATATTGTTATTTCATTAATCTAACAAATGAGATATATTGTTATTATTTTAAATAGTTAAGATTTGTGTAGCTTTACCCATATGTTTAATATTTTCTTCGTTCTTTCTTTTTTTAAAAAATTACAGCCTATTGATTATGGTATTAAAGTTGTCCCATTGTCCCCCTTTGTCCCCCCCCACCCAGCAGCCCCTACTCCCCCTGGTAATCTCCACACCATTGTTCATGTCCATGGGTCATGCGTGTAGGTTTTTTGGCTACTCCATTTCCTATTCTGTACTTTACATCCCCATGGCTATTCTGTAACTACCTATTTGTACTTCTTAATCCACTCACCTCTTCAACCATTCTCCCGCACCCCCCTTCCATCTGGCAACCATCAAAATGCTCTCTGTATCCAGGATTCTGTCTCTGTTGCTCTGGGTTGCTTAGTTTGTTTTTTAGATTGAATTTTTTTTCTATCCCTCACCCCTGAATTGTTGATAGATATGTATTTATTGATATTTTATTGTTCATAGTTTTGATCTTCTTTTCTTAAATAAGTCCCTTTAACATTTCATATAGTAATGGTTTTGTGATGGTGAACTCCTTTAGTTTTTTTCTTGTTCTGGGAAGCTCTTTATCTGCCCTTTGATTATAAATGATATTTTTTGCTGGGTAGAGCAATCTTGGCCATAGGTCCCTGCTTTTTGTGACTTTGAATAGTCCTTGCCAATCCCTTTTAGCTTGCAAAGTTTCTTTTGAGGAATCAGCTGACAGTCTTATGGGAATACCCCTGGAGGTAACTAACTTCTTTCCTCTTGTTGCTTTTAAGATTCTCTCTTTATCGTTAACCTTGGGCATTTTAATTATGTTGTGTCTTGGAGTGGGCCTCTCTGCATCCGTCATGTTTGGGACTCTCTGTGCTTCCTGGACTTGCATGTCTATCTCCTTCACCAAATGAGGGAAGTTTTCTTTCATTATTTTTTCAAGTAGATTTCCAGTTTCTTGCTCTTTCTCTTCTCCTTCTGGCACCCCTATGATAAGAATGTCGGGCCTCTTGAAGTTGTCTCAGAGGCTGCTTATACTATCCTCATTTTGGGGGGTTCTTTTTTCTTCTTGTTGTCCTGATTGGTTTTTAGCTTCCTTGATTTGATTCTTGGCTTCATCCACTCTGTTGTTGTTTCCCTGTAAATTATTCTTTATTTAAATTAGTGTATCCTTTGTTTCTGACTGGATCTTTTTTATGCTGCTGAGGTCCTAAGTTCCTTGAGCATCCTTATAACCAATGTTTTGAATGTTGCATCTGATAGTTACTTACCTCCATTTCATTTAGCTCTTTTTCTGGAGTCGTGATCTGTTCTTTCATTTGGGCCATGTTTCTTTGTCTCCTTGTTTTGGCAGCTTCCCTGTGTTTGTTTCTACATATTAGGTAGAGCTTCTATGACTCCCTGTCTTGGTAGCATGGCCTAATGTAATAGGTGTCCTGTAGGGTCCAGTGGTACAGCCTCCCCTGTCACCCAAGCTGGGTACTTGAGGTATGCCCTTCGAGGGGTCTGATTACACTCTTCTTTTGCAGTTGAGCCTTGATTGCTGTTGGCAGGTCAATTGGAGGGATTTACCCAGGCCGGTCAGCTGCAAGGACTGACTATGACCGCTGTCCACCAACCTCTGTCCTCTGTGGAGGATCAGCTGTTGGGTGGGCAGGGTAGTGGTGCTTTGATGTGGTCTATAGCTGTCCACTTGTGCAGGCTCTCGGGTTTCCTGGGTGGTGCAGGCCAAGGTCAGCCCTCACCTGTGTTCTGCCTGAGCTATTAGCAATCTGAGATGACTGCCGCTTGTGCTGGGCCTGGGGCCCCTTAGCAAGAGATATGGGGGCTGGGGGCTCACTGAGGCTGACTGTTGCTTGTTTGAGAGGATTTAGTAAGTTGTGAAGCATGAGCCAAGAGCAGCCATTCATATGGAAAAGCAGCTTCTGTGGGCCAATAAGTGGGTGGGACTGAGTCTCTGGGGATCTTCAGGGCAGACAGTGTTAGCCAGGTTGATGGAGTCTCATATATGGCAAAAGCCTGCTGGCTCTGTGGCTCTGTGGAGGGAGGGTTTAGAAAAGGAACAATGGCCTCTGCCCACCTTTTGTCTGGGACAAAGCTGTCCCCTGGCTCTCACCTTGATGCCAGACATTCCAGTTTCTCCCTGTATGTCAATGGTGCCCCTCAAGATGCTACCCCAGTGCTGGAGCTCAGAGGGAGTGAGTTTAAGTCTGTGTGAGAGTTCTTTAAGAGGAACTGCTTGGGGCTCCAGCATGTTCTTTCACTGACCAATCCCTGCTGTTTTTTGCAGCCAGAAGCTGTGGGGACTTATTTCCCTGGCACTGGAACCCTAGGTTGTGGGGTCTAGTGTGAGGCTGGGACTCCTTGCTCCTAAGATATCTCTTCCAAATTTTATCCTTCATGGGCGGATGTGGGACCGGCCCGTTCCATGTCTCCGCCCCTCCTACCAATCTAGATGGGTGTGTTTTCTTTAATTTGTAATTGTCAGACTTCCATTCAACTTTATTTCTGACAGTTCTGAGTGATGGTTGTTCTATATTTTAGTTGTAATTTTCTCATGTTTGTGCAAGGAGGCAAGCTGTGTTTACCTATGCTGCCATCTTGACGAGAGGTCCTTGTTCTTCTTTTTTGTGTCTCCGACCTTTCATCTGGGGTCAGTTTCCTTCTATCCAAAATAGATCCTTTAGAACAGGGGTGTCCAACCTCTTTGCATCTCTGGGCCACACTGGAAGAAGAAAAATTGTCTTGGGCCACACATTACATACACAAACAGTAATATCAAAACTGATGAGCAAATTAAAAGGTTTTAAGTAAATTTACAATTTTGTGTTGGGCTGCTTGTGGCCAGCAGGCCACAGGTTGGACACTTCTAAAGTTTAGAAGTTGCCTCAATGAAGATTTGTAGTAGAAAGAATTCTATGATACCCCCAATATTTCTACCCTCTTGTGTATACATTCTGTATAAACTTCTCCCTTGAATGTAAGTAGAAGTAGCAAATATGATGAATTTTCATGCCTATGATTATGTTATGTATCTGGAAAATGTGATTTTGCTGATGTGGTTAAAGTTTGTAATCAGTTGGTTTGTGTCATAGGGGAGATTATTTTGGGTGGGCCTGACATAATCAGGTGAGACTTTAAAGTGTATCAGACCTTCTCAGAAGTCAGAGAGATCCTTCTGTTTACCTTGAAAGAAGCAAGCTGCCACCTTTTGGAGGTGGTCCTAGCCTCTTAGGAGTTAAGACTTCAGTTCTACAGACCCAAGGAACTGAATTCTGCCAGTAATCCGTGTGCATGGAAGCAGAGCCCAGATGAGACTGCAGCCTTTGATGACATCTTGGTGGCAGCCTGATGAAACTCTGCGGTTCCAGAAGACCCAGCTAACCTGTACCCAGACTCCTGACCCAGAAACTGTGAGACAATAAACGTGTTCTTGTAAGCTACTGAGATGGACTATCAATATGTTACGCAGCAATAAAAACTAATACAGGATCTAATGATAGTAAACTTCCTCAGCTTTATTTGTTTATTTCTTCTATTTTACCTTCATTTTTGAGGGATCGTTTTGCTGGCTAAGAAATTATAGGTTGACAGTTATTTTCTCTTGTTTTGCTACATATTTCTTTGTCTTCTGGCTTTCATTGTTGCTATTAAGAAATCAGATGTTAATATAAAAGTTACTTTACAGGGAATCTGTCTTTATGCTCTTGCTCCTTTTTGAGATTTTGTCTCTGTCATTGTTTTTCTACAGATTCACTAGTATTAATCCAGATGTGCACTTCTTTTTGTTTATTCTGGTGGGAATCCCTTGGATTTCCTGAATCCTGTATTTTTAAATACAGCCTCTCTTTTATTACCTTTCTTCTTTTATATGGAATTGAAATTAGATAAAGATTGGACCTTCTCACTTTATCTTTCATGTCTCTTAACTTCTCTTCCACATTTTCCTTCTTCTTATATTTTAATGCTGCATTTTGGTTCATTTTTTAAAAATCTATTTTCCAATTTACTAATTCTTTCTCTAACTATGCAAAAATATAATACAAACAGAGCCCCTTTAAAACAGAGCCAGAGCTGGAACCCCAGAGGAACTGCCTTGCACATCTCGGGCCTCAGACCTTTGGAATGTTAAACAGGGCAAAATAATCTTTGGACTGGGCTTAAAGCAACATTGTGTACCAAAGAACTGTGGGCAAAGAGAGCAGATACTATGAACTGATGTTTGCCAGAATGAAAATCAAAAACACTGTTTAGAATTAATATCACTATGTTAGCTTATCTGAAGCCATAGAAATGCCTTCCTTTTATTTATTTAATTGTTCCCCTTCCCTTTCTCATAAATACTCCTTGCCTTTTCTCTTAATTGGAACACTATTTGGGCTTCTGCCTGAATCAGTGCTTCTCCAATAAATGCTTGTTTCCTCTCACTTTGAAAGGCTATTTATTCTAGCCCTGGTCAATAAGGCTCAGTTGGTTGGAGCATTCTCCCAAAACCAAAAGTGTGTGGGTACAATTTTTGGTCAAGGCACATACCTAGGTTGTGGGTTCCATCCCTGATCCCAGGTCAGGGTCTGGGTGCATACGATCCCTGGTCTGGGTGTGTATGGGAGGCAACGGATCAGTGCTTCTCTCTTGTATCAACGTTTCTTTCTCTGCCTCCCTCTCTAAAAGCAATGAAAAAATGTCTTGGGTGAAGATAAGGAAGAATTAGAAATGTTTTCATTTTAGGGTGTCATCTTTTGTGCCATCTACTAACTTTATAATTATATTTTTATTACCATGTTATAATTGGTTATTTTTCCAAACTGCGTAGTCAATTTTTATAATTGTTTGTCCCTTTGTTATATTAAAAGTGATTTAAAAAATTTTTTTTCTTTTATTGATTCCTTAGGAGAAGGGAGGGAGAAAGGGGGGGAGAGAAATATCGATGTGAGAGAGAAACATCCATCTGTTGCCTCTTTTACATACCCCGGCTGGTGACTAATTTGCAACCCACTCTTGCGCCCTTACCAGGAATCGAATCTGCAACCTTTCAGTCTGCTGGACGATGCCCAACCACACCGGCCATGGCAAAAATTTATGTTTTTTTAAAAAAAATATTAAACACATGTACTTTATATACAGTAACTGAAAATCCCAGCATCTGTAATATTTGCAGGCTTGAACGTTTATGATAGCTTGTTTCTCTGTGTGTTTAGTGACTGACTGTATGCTCATGGTTCTTGGAACTATAGCTATAGGGATGATTTAAGGCCTGGGGTTAGAATGCATTCCCCAGAGAGGGTTTTTATTGGGCTTCACCAGGTTCCCAGGAGTGCTTTACCAGTTTGGTTCCACTTTATACTACACTTGTGTCTTTGGATTTGGGGGGCCACTCATGTGGTATATACTTTGGCCCTAAACTTGTATGAGTACAAGCACATTATTTTGAATTATCAGAAAGAAATTTTCTCCTGCTATACCAAGAACAAAGGATGAGATAGACTTTTATCCTTACTGTTTCCCTCTGCAAGGCACTTTAAAAAAATTTTTTTATTATTATTTTTATAGCTAGGGGAAGGGAGGGAAGGAGAGAGGGAGAGCAACTGTGACCTGTGAGAGAAGCATTGATTGGTTGATTGGATGCCCCCAAATGGGCACTATGCCCTGACCCAGACCCGAACAGGCAAGCTTTTGGTTCACAGGCCGTTGCTCAATCCACTGAGCCACTCCAGCCAGAGCGAGGCACTTTTCTGAAGTTTACTCTTTGGGGGTGTTACTCTTTGACTATCCTCGCTTTAAGTGTGCAGGGGATAGTTTTCCAACCCAGCTGTCTCTGTTCAATCCCAGACTTTGTTTTCTGTCTCTATTTATGGCCCTTTAAACTCAGGTTTTAGGCCACCAGGGATTGGTTTAGCAAACGCAGGCTCCAGTGATCATCTGTGCCCTGAGATTCAAAATTTCATGTCATCTCTTATGTCTGAGGAATTCCCTCAATTTCCTGCCAGTTCAATCAAGCAACACAAATAGGTGTGTGCGTGTGTGCATGCGTGTGCGCGCGCGCGCACGTGTGTGTGTGTGTGTGTGTGTGTGTTCAATGTTGCCACCAGCATTTTTAGTTGCACTATATCAGGTGGATTTTCTGTGACATTAAGTTCTCTAAATTTCTGGAAATGAAAGCATCCAATGTTTTCTTCCTCCTTCCTTCTTTCCCTTCCTTTTTCTTTCCTCCTTTTGTATTTGGATAACCAATTGTCCCAGGGCCATTTGGTGAATAGCGTGCCTTTCCTGCAGGGATCAATAACATAAATTTTGTCATATATCAAATGTGTTTGTTTTAGGTCTAGGCTTTTTTCTGCTCTAGTGGTCTTTTTTCCTATTCTGACAACAATACCACATTGCCTTAATTACTAAAATAAGCTCTGCCACCCTCACAATTGTGTACCTTTACTTCAGGGGATTCTTGGCTACTTTGGCCCTTTGCTCCTCTCTACAAATACACTAATTTGTTGTTATGTTCCTAGGATATCCTGATAGGATATTGATGGGAATTATTTCAAATATATAGATTAATTTAGGATAACCACTGTATGATTTAAATCTTCCTGTTCATAAAAGTGCTGTCTCTCCCATTTATTTAGGCTATAGTTAGTGCCTTCAAATACGATTTTATAAGTTTAGATAGTGCACATGCTTTCTTAAGTTTATTACTAGGTGCATCAGCTTTATTTAAAAATTATATTATTTAACTTTTATTGTTGGTTATAGAAATGCAATAGATTTTTATATTGATTTTATATCTAGCCAGCTTGCTAAATTTTAAAGAAACAATCCTAATAACTTTCAGATTCTTTTGATATCTTATATATTTCATTATATAATCTGTGCAAAAGGACAGTTCAATTTTTTTCCTTTCTAATCTTTATGCCCTTTTATATTTTTCTCACTTTATTGTATTAGTTATGTCCTAAAATACAATGTTAATTAGAATCAGAGGTATTGGACATCTTTCTATTCCTGATTTTAGAGAATCTAATGAGGTCTTGTACTCTTTTCAAGGGTCTGTATTAGTTTTACCAAAAATGTCTCTATTTGTAAATATGGTTTTTCCCATGATTTTTACAACAAGACATAAGCGGTTCTAAGTCCTCAATGTAAGAATAACATTTCATGGTTATTCTGGTTTATCTCACATTGTGAATTCTTATTACACAGTCTTCAAAGTCCCCAAGGGATCATCCTCACACTGTCCCCACCTCTACCCCCGAAAGAAATGGGGAACAGCATGTCTGCTGCTCCCTGAGCCACCTTGTCTCCTCACACTCCCAGCGTGTGGTAACAAAGCCAGGCAATGAAGAATACACATTAGATTATTTCCTGAAGCCAGACCCTCTAATAAAAGTACGACAAAGCAGGGGGAAAAAGGGTTGAAGTTCTATCTCTAGACTGTCCAATACAAAAGCCACTGGCCAATGTGGCTATTGAGTACTTGAAATGTAGCTAATGTGACTGAGGAACTGAATTTTAAATTTTGCTTAATTTTAATTAAGGTTAGAAATATATAATCAATCCAGTTATTGGAAAAGTTCTAAATATATTTGAAACAAATTACATACTTGAATCTGTTTCTTCAACTGTTTTATGAAATCTAAACCAGATCAAGTATTCCTAGTGAAAATTTACCATCTGCATACAGATGTGTGGTAAGTGCAAAATACACACTGGATTTCAAAGACTTTGTACAAAAAAAGAATGTAAAACACCTCATTAATATTTTTATATTTATTACATGTTGAAACAATATTTTGGATATCTTGTTAAAATTACTATCACTTGTTCCTTTTTACTTTTTAAAACTATGGTTGCTAAAAAATTTAAAATTAAATGCATGGCTGGCTTATATGAAATTTAATTTTAATAGTTTTCTCCAAAAAAATCTTTTAAAAATGTATAATTCTACATCTCAATTACAGACAGTTTCAAAATTTACATTTTTATTCCTGTTGAAGAGTGCTGATATAGCTCAGCTAAATGCTTCTCTCCCCCACACCTGCTCTCTCTGATACCTGGCTTTGTCACCTTTGATTTGCTCTCTGACTTTATCCAATCCCGCCTTCAAGTCCCTCAGCGTGAACACTGCCTCTCTCCTTTGGGAAACAGCATTCCTTTCTTCAAGGGGAGGTTTTCCCTCTTGGTTCCTTCCCATGTTCTGGAACGCTGAGGATCCCACCCAGATGAACAGATGTTCTCTGTTCAGTGTCATAGTTTGGGAGGATGGGCTCCAGGCACGCAAACTGGAGTTTTGGAGTCCCAGGGGTCCTGTTTGGGCTCCCCTATCAGAGGGAACCTCATGTTGGCAATTATGAAAAGACACATAAGGCAAAGAAAATATTTATTTCCCTTGAAGACCACCAGCCTAATCCAATGTAAAAAGAACCAAACAAAACAAAACCCAAACAAACCATATTTTCTCTATTAGCACATCCTGTCCTTTAAACTCATTGAGACCCCCTTTCATGATGCTGAGAAGCATTTGGGTCTTTCCTGTTTTCTCACCCCCTTTCCACGTGAGGCCTGGCAGCTTCACATGAAAACTCAGTGCATCTGTTAAGGGTTGTTAAAGCCACTCCAAAGAATGCCTCCAGCTCAAATTTTTTAAAAATACACTTTTTAAAAAATTTCAAGGGAGGTCAAAATGTACTAATATGAATAACCTCCAAGATACATTGTCCAGTGGGCATAACAAAAGGTTCAGGAAGCTTATATAACAAGGAATGTTTGCATCTAAAGTGCTTAAGTTTTCAGAGACTGACTCTGGAACAGCAAACAAAAAATTGGCATCAAAAGTTACTTTAGGTAGGCGCTGGCTGGGTAGTTCAGTCAGCCAGAACATTGTCCCGATATGCCAAGGTTGCAGGTTCAATCTCTAGTCGAGGCACATACAAGAAGCAACCAATGGATGCATAAATAAGTGGAACAACAAACCAATGTTTTTCTCTCTCTCAAAAAAAAAAATCAATAAATTAAAAGAAAAAGTAAAAAGTTGCTTGGGGATGGGATAAGTGGGTTATGTATTTATGTTAAAAAATATGTGCATATCTACAATGGCCAAAAGGTAGAAACAATCCAAATGTACATCGATGGGTGAATAAAAACACCAAACTGTGGTATATATATTAAATGTAATATCATTCAGCCTTAAAAAGGAAGGAAATGCTGACACGCTACAACATGAATGACCCTTAAAGACATAAACTAGACACAAAAGGACAAATATTGTATGATTCTACTTATATGAGGCATTTAGAATAGTCAAATTCACAGAGACAGAAAGTAGAACGCTTATTACCAAGGGCTAGAGTAAGGGGAGAAAAGTGAGTTAGTGTTTAATGGGTACAGAGTTTCAGTATGGAAAGATAGTTTTGGAGATGGATAGTGGTTGGTGATTGCACAATAATGTTAATGTACTTAGTGCCACTGAACTGTACACTAAAAAAATGATTAACATGGTAAATTTTGTTATGTGTGATTTTCCACAATAAAAATACGTGTATGCAGTGCATTTAAAAGACTTTAAATTTATTTTTCACACTACTTCTCTTTAATCGTAGGGGATAGAGGCCATTTCTACTAAAATTATAGATGCATTTATTATCTGACCCAGTGTATCCTACAGATATACTTGCTCACATATGGAATGTCATATGTACAAGGTGATTCACTGCTGCATTGTCTGCAACAGCAAAAGACTGAAAATAAAGTATCCCACTAGAAGAGTCTGGTTAATAAAGTGTATTCATTCAATAGAGTACTATGTAGTTGATAAAAGGAATGAGGAAGAGCTCTATTTGCTGATTAAGAAAGATCTCCAGGATACATTGTTAAGTATAGAACTAAGGTGCAAGTGTATAGCGTATGCTACCTTTTGCATAAGGAATGGGAGGAATAAGATGATATTTTATTCATACTTGTTTACATTTGCATAAAACATTGAGAGGATAAGCAAGAAGTTAATAACAAGGGTCACCCACAGTGGGCAAGGGGGAAAGAGTGGATGGGAACAAGTGGTTGAAAGGAGGTTTCTCAGTGCATTCTTTTTACATATTTTTTTTGATTTATGCAAATGTATTAACTATTCAGAATAATTAGAAATATTTAGAAGATGAAATGGGGGAAAAAGCAGTAGTAATGGAAAGGTTGCCCAATTCATTCTTTTTGCCATTTGCCCCCACCTCCACCGGCCATCAACTTTATGGATTTTTCAGGTTGTTTTTAATCTGAGATTAACTGAGATAAATGTAACATGAGAATAGTTATACTTTAAGTTCTTTACATAGATTCGCTTAATCTTCCTACCAACCTAATAATATAGATATTATTATTAACATTCTCATTAAACAAATGAGGAAACAGAAGCACGGAGAGGTTAACCAACCAACCCACTTCAGATTTCACATAGCCAGGAAATTGCGGTTAGAATTTGAACCCATTGTCTGTCAAATCCTGGCTCTCCCAATATCGTTATACAAATATTTTTGAACATTTGCTCTATTATTGGAAGGTGCGTGCATTGGGTAAAAGGGTTTGTACTTTTTAATGTTTTCCCTTTTTAAATAAAAAAATTCCAAAATGCCATTATGTAAATTTGCATTATTTTACATTCGCATTATAAAGGCGTGAGAATATGATGGATAACACTGAGTAGTAACAAAATTTAATTTTTTCTTCAAGCTAACTGACGAGATACGGTTTATTACTACGATTTTTATTACTACTGAACTTTTAAGCAGTTTAGCAAGTTTAGCACTCAAAGGCTCAGCGGGGGAACTACTTGTCTGCTGTAAATGAGACCTCCAGCCCCACTCCCGCGCTGTTCCCTACCCGCCGACAGAGGGCGCTGGTCACGACGAGCCTCTCTCCTGTGGTCCTAATCGGCTTCCCAGGCACAGTGCGCAAGCGCTTGTTTCACTCCAGGTGTCCAGCTTTGTGCCTGATCGATGTCTTCTGGGCCGTGCTCAGCGCACAGTTTTGAAACCGGACCTGTTTTCAGGAAAACGTAGTGTGTCCTCTGGACCCAGAGCGCCTCTGGGACTCAGGGGCGAGAGGATCTGGGGTGGGCCTAGAGGGGTGGACGGCGCGTCGGGCAGCCCACACGGGCGGGGCGGGGTGGGGCGGGGCCGGCAAGGTCTTGGGCGTCGCTTGCCGGTGGGGCCAGAGCCGGGCGCGAAGCCCCTGACCATACAGGTATGGAGGCGGCGACCCTGGCAACTGTCTCATTTGCTGGCCCTCGCGTGTTCGTGAGGTTCCTGACGGGTGACTGGGGGCTCGGCGCTCGTCTGGGGGTAGCATGGAGCCCGGTGTTTGGGACAGAGGACAGCAGGGGTGGGCCGCGGCGGGGGTGGTCGTCAGTCTGGGTCTGGGCTCATCCCACCCGACAGAGCGCCCAGCCTGGCGGTGTTCTCCATGCGTCAGAGATTGAACCTCCGAATTTCTCCGGAACTGCAAAGGTCCCCCCTCCTTTCCTGGGCGCGTCCGAGGCACCCCTGAACCCATTCCGAGCCACAGGTTTCCTGTGGACACATGGTTGAGAAGTTTGTGTCAAACAAAAATAACAAAAAACGTAGAGGACTTAAGCCTGGGGGCATGGATATGGGTTTGATGTGTCTGTATTTCCCACTGCTGGGGCCCGCCTTACCTGGCTGGATGACCTTTGAAAAGTCATCTTGCGCATTTCTTGTCTTTAGGCAGAGCACCACAGCTGAATTACACAGATGAAGAACTTCACTGTATTTAAAGACGCAGTGATTTAGAAACTTAACTTTCATTTATTACAGTGAGAAGAGCATCAAGCCCATATTGACCACCTACTAATCTAGTGAGAGTCTAGCCTTGAGATTGACATTCTTTACCTGGCGTACTGCCGAAGGCTGAGCCATGGGAATGTTAATAATTTTTTTTAAAGACATTTTACACTCATATATGTTCAGAAACTTAATGGTTAAAGTTTTCTCTACTGCAGAATATTTCAGAGCCGTTAATATGGTAATGGCATTACCAGGAGACTCCCACTGGAAGTATAGCTTTGGAGAGTTTTCTAGATTTGAGCTGGAAATACTGTTTTTCTTAGGTGCTGCCCCTGTTTAACATCTGAAACAGTTTTGGGAAATGCAGTTCCAGAATTAGAAACATGAGGCTTGGGACGGGCAGTGTAGGTCAGTGTTTTTGAACTTCAGTGGTGCCTATGCAAAGGGGTCTTATTAAAGCGCCGATTCTGGTCGGTAGTACATTTATTTTAACAAGGTCACAGGTGATGCTGATGCTGCTGGTAAATGGACCGCACTTTGAGTAGCAAGGGTATAGATCACTGGATTGAAATTCAGAGATGTTCTGCTTCCTGGTTTCCAGAACAATTGAAAACATTGTGATTCTAGTTCTGTTACCCTTGTGATAGTTGAAGTCCATCTAAAATATTCTTGCCCAGTGGCCAGTTTGGGCATGAATATTCCTAATAATGGGAAATTTACTACATGTATGGAATTTATCTGTGGATAGTTCAGAAAGGAAGTTTTGTTGCTGAAATACATCTCTGCAACTTCCATCCTGTGGTCCTAGGTTATCTCTTAGAATCAAATATTAAAAAAGTGTAATCTCGCTTAAAAAGGTGACTCTTAAAGTATTAGATGACAGCTATTCCTACCAAGTTTTCTCCACACAGAAATTGCTCTTAATTCTCAATGACGTTGTTTCAGTGCCTTTCTTTCATATTTAGTCCTTCTGCACAAGTGTAGTGGGGTTTTAGCTGGATGTTGAAGGATGGATAGTGGTTTGAAAGTCCAGAGAAAGCATTCAAGCAGCTGACAATAGTGCGGAGATGACAGTGCATAAGTCAGATCCAGGACTGTTTGGCTCAAATACAAAATGGTATGTTAGTGAAAGATTTTGGGCAAGTGAGATAAATGGGCAAAGCAAATATTTTAGAGTATACAGTTTTCTTACTGTGGTGTAAAATGTGGTTGGAAATGGGGAAGGAGAGAGGCAGGGAATCAGACATGCTTCACATAGTAGTAATAGAGGACTAGCTTGTTGATAATAATAATGCCTTATGTTTATGTATAACATTTTGCATATTACAGGATCTTTCACAGGTATTATCTCATTTGATTTAATAATCCTGTGAGACGGGCAGAGCAGCTGTTACTCTGTGTTGAAGATGAGGCACCAAAGACAAAAAATGATTTGTCTTAATTCTTAAAGATATTAAATGGCAGGCCAAAGTGATGACAGTGGTAATGGAGGAGAAAGGAAGGCCACCGGAGGCAGTGCTAAGGAGGGTTTGATAAGTTGGGCCTGACCAGCATGAGGGTACAAGGGAGTTGTTAGGGAGAAGTCAAGATTACTTGGGAGAGTCATAATACCATTGACAGCTGCCTCTGTAGGTTTTATCCTGCCATTTTTACCATTGCTGGTGGCTTCCTGGAGGTATGGTTTGGGAGAGATTGTAGTAGAGGATTCCCAGGTTGTTTAGTCTCTCCAGATACTGGTGGTGCTGTGGGGACCTGGGTTATCTGTTGCATACCAAGAGAAATGCGAACTGGGTCCTTAGTGTCCCCTGAGAAGGTTTAAGTGCTGAGCAATTAATTGACTGATTAAAATGTATTTAGGGCTTGCCATCCTGCAGACACTGAATTTGACTTTATATCATTTTTTCTTTTTAAGTTTAGGCTAGTACCAGTTGCACTTGGCCAACGGACAAAATTGGTGTCCAGTCTGACCTCCCCAAGCTCCTACACATGCCCAGGGGGTTCACTGAAGCAGAGACTGGACCCTTATCACACCCAGAGCCTCACTAAAGCTCTTTTCCCAGCAGATCTGCACTTTCTTTAGAGCCTAGAGGTCTCACTGTGGTCCTTTTACCATGGAAGCATATGAGATTGAGATTTAGTGTCACAACCTGATTCCACAGGACCTGGGGCCGTCTCTGCATTTTTAGTTTTTGATGCTCCTGTCTGGAGAGGAAAGAGCTACCTCTGCCTGAGTATGTTTGTGTGACTCCAGCATATACTGATTGTGTGCCTGGTAATTTCCTCTGTGGTAGTGGTCTTTAAGGGCGGATCTACTCTCGGGGAAAGTTGTCAGAACCAACATATATACCTAGAGCCTGGTGGTGTTGGTACAGGCTTCTATTCGACATTGAGTGCCTTCTGTGTTCATTGCTTAGGATACTGAGGTGAATAAAACATCTCTGCCTTGGAGGAGTTTGTGATGGGATAAGGGAAACACTATTTTAAGTAAAACATGATATCATAAGAGATATGTCCAAAATGCTATATGAGGGCAGAGGAAGGACTAACTAGCTCTACATGGAGATGTCAAAGTGATCCTCAGGAAAGATGAGAATTGAGCTGAGCCTTGAAGATGAGGAGAGAAAATGTCCCTGTTGACATGGGCAACATGTGCAGAGGCATGAGGGGGAAGGTCAGTAAATCCAAGTGGCTGGAATATAAGGGAACTTTGGGATCAAAGGAGAAGTGATTGATGAGACTAGATTCATAACGAAGCCAGGTTTTTAATGGCTTGCAGTGCTGTACTAAGAAGATTCATTTTGGGGGGCAGGGAAACCAGTGGAGGGTTTTAGGCAGGGAGGCGATGAGATTGTATTTTGGAAGCTAATTGTGGAAGTAGACTGAAAGGGGAGAATCTTGGTCAGGGACACTAGGAGACTTGGAAATAACCTAGGCGTGGTCTATGGCCAAACTAAGGATAGCCCAGTGGGGATGGAAAGGAGCGGATGAATCTGAGAGACCGTAGAGACAGAATTAACCTGAGGTAATGACTAATTGGTTGTTGAGAAGGAGAGGGAGTTGCTGAGGATGGCTCAGTTTTCTGTTTTGGGTGGATGGTGGTGCCAGTAGTAAATAGGAAATACAGAGGCGAAAGCGGGGAAGATAGTGTCTTTTGGGTCAGGTTGATCTTGGGGGCCTCTGGGGCACTTAGCAGGCAGGTGGAAATGTGGATCTGAGTTTCAGAAGAGTTTGTGCACAGGGGTGGTAGGTGTTGAGTGGTAGTTGATGCTGTGGTAATAAATTAGTCCAGCCCTGCTTGTAGAAGGCTGAAGATGACTGAGGAGGTGAGAAGGATTGGTACACAAAGTGAGAGAGAATGTTGTCCAGGAAGTCAGGAGAGGAGAAACTTCCAAGAAAAGGATCGGCAGCCTCAGATGCTACAGGGAGATCGAGGAGGATGAATTTAGAAAATACACTGTGAGATTGGGCAGTTAGGAGGTTGTGGTCACCAGGACTCTTACTTTTTTAACGGGAGCAGCTTCAGTGGAGTGGTAGGAGCCAGGTAGACTGAGGAATGGAAGGGAGGTGAGGGTAGGGAGCGTGTACTCACTGAATAGTTTCTCAGGGAAGGAAGGAAAAGAGATGGCGGCAGCTTGCGGAGAAGGGTAACAGAGACTACAAGCAGTTTTCCAAGAGTAGAAGATTCTTGTGCATCGAGTCTGACATATCTGATGATGTGTAAGAGCCAGTTAGAGAGGGTGCAGTTGAAGGGCACAAGAGAAGTGAATTTTAAATCAGCCTCTCAGAGAAGGGCGGAGGGGTTGGCCCTGAAAAGAAGGGATCACCGTTTCCTTGCGAGAGGAATGACAGAAGACAGGAAGGAATGTAGGAAGAAAGGCAGTGACTACTGCAGATATATCTACATTTGCATAGGAATTCCTCTTATTAAATAGGCTCAATTTCTTTCTCTACGAGGTATGTGCAGTGAGGGGCGAGGGTGCAGGTACGGCCTCAGACTGGAACAGGGGCTTGAAAGTAATAAGGGAAACTTGAAACAGCTGTCCAGGGGAAAGGGCAAGACAGCAGATTTGAGGTGCCCTCTAGGAGTGTTGGGGATCCTCTGACCTACATTGTAGTCTCTCCTCCCTCTTCTTCATCATAATAATGGCTGACATTTATTGAGCGCTTCATACCAGACACTCTTTTAAGTGTTCTTCAGGCATTCTTAATGTGATTTTTACAACAGCCCTGTTAGAAAAGGTATTGCTGTCATCTCTGCTTTACA